GGTAGAAGAAGTAGATCCCACTTATCCACTTAGGTGTAAAGGTGTCATGCTTTAGTAAGTTGGGTATTATTATTAACGTGAATATTTTTAGATAAACATTCGATTTTAAACTAATATCAGCTACTAATATACTTCCAACCGAAAATATTAGACTCCTAATAGTCGACAAAACACAAACAAAAAAATACTCCTAATCGTCTAAGCATTTGACTAGTTAAAAAAAAACTCGTCTAAGCCTTTGACAAAAGGTTATCGTCTAATGGATTTTTTTTTTTTNTTTTGGAAATATCGTTTGTGTAACATATTTACTAAAATTAGCTTAAGTAATATATGATCATAACACAAAATTACATGCTCCGGATCATAATTCAGTCAGGTTATATCATTTTTCACTTTTTCTAAAAGCAAGAAAATGGGAGAAAATTGACTAGAAAAAGTGGCTTGGAAAAGAGAATAAATAAACTTATATAGTACAGTACTACAGTTATACCTTTATAGAATATTAATTTCAAAATAAATTTTCTTAAGTCAACAAATTTAAATTCATTTCATATACCGAGAAGTATAAGTTTTGAAGGAACAATGAAGTTAAAGTACACAAAAGGATTTGGAAGCTAGAATATATGCATCTTTTCTTTAAACAAAAAAAAAAATGCATCTTTGCAAACAACAATTTGAAAGACAAAAAGATCTATGATATAAACCATTGCATTGGCATAATAATTATGTTTACCCATTCACTACAAAAAAACATGTCACTTTCGGACGGAATTTCCAACGAACAACTCGTCGTCGAAATTTTACCACCGAATTGAGATATATTTTGGACCGATTTTAGATGCAAAATTTCAGTCAAAAATTCGTAGAAAATTTCCGACGAAAACAGTGCCTGTCGGATTTCGGTTGAAAATATGGATAAAAAATCCGTGGGAAACTCAAATGGTAGGAATTCAGTTGGAAAATCGGTTGGATATTCGTGGGAAATAAATCCCGTCGAAAATCGGAAAGAAAAAAAATAGTCATTTTCTAACCGTTTGAATTTTAAATTTCCGACCGAAAATCGGTAGGAAATCCGTGGCAAAATCGCTGAAATATTTTATAAATACTAGCACATCTTCTTGTGTCAACTGTTAAGAATTCATACTTGCAAACATATTATAAGAAAGAACACGCCGAACGAATGCAATGATCAACTATCCCGATATTTAACTTTAATGTGTAAAAAATTGTAAAATGTCACAAACCGTTTATTCATCAATGTTTATTTTATACTCTCTCTGTTTTATAATAGTTGTCATCCTAGACTTATTTTTTTGTTTGTTTCAAATTAGTTGTTATTTTTTTTTCAATGTAATTTTTGTCACATAATTCCAAATATAATCTCATTAAACTAGCCAATATAAATTGAAATAAGATAAATATTTAAATATTTTTTTCCAAAACTCACGTCTAAAATTATTTCAAAAGTCACTTTTCACAATTTAGAGTAGTTTACTTTTATCTTTCCAACATACAACTATTGTGGGATAGAAAAATTTCGTTTCATACAGACAAAGAGCACGACTTGAACTATTTAAAGACTTACTAGTATTGTTATGAGTATATTCGTTGGAATGCTTTTCATTGTTTGTAGGTGAAAAGCTAGCTATGGAAGATGATCAACTGTTAAAATTCTATGGTAATATATAGAAAGATTGAAAGTTTTGAATTTGAGTATTTGCCACCATGAGTTTTTTCTTCAGTTGTTGCATTCACGTTAAAAAAATTTTATTTCCTTCCAATTATATTTTTATAGTCAATAAGTCAAAATAAATATATTTAATTTATTAAAATCGGTTAACTATGCATTCAGTGAAGAAGAATACTAAGAGGCTATGATTAAAATGATTAAAAGAGAAATGAAGAGAAATGCAGTATAATTTGAGGTTATTTGTGATGTTAAAATAGTCAAATTATGATAATCTTTAATTTATGTAAAATAATCTAGAATAACAACTATTTTGAAGCGGAGGGAGTAGTAACTACGCATAGATAAAGTTCATAAGGATAAAGATTTGTTTGTTTCAAAATTTGGTCTATTCTTACGTTTTTCAAGAATGTGATGCTCTGTCGAATTAGGCCCATATCATAAAGTTGGAAACAATAGTGTGAATTATTGGGCTTTATTTTGCTCTTGGGCTTGAATCATCCTGATATACTTCTCTTCTCAGAAATTGAGTTTTAGATTTCATATCCATAGTTTCTAGATGAAAAAATATGAAATTTGTTATCTGGGGGATAGTGTCATAGTGCTGTGATAATGTTTTACACAAACCACTAAAGTCTAAATCACATATCGGAAACACAATTTTTAGTTTTTTTGTTATACCATTCGTAGCAAATTCACATATCATATTTAGAATGATCCGTTTATACAAAGATCTAGATAATCCTGGAATATAGCTTTGTACTTTGTCATATAAATCTGTCGAATGCTAAGAATTATTTACAGAAAAGCAATGTTTTAAAAATCGGACCGGATCAGAGGTTTGACCGGGGACTGGCCGGCTATCCGGGTTGGATTGATCCGGATTTGAGTTTTTTTATTTTATTTTATTTTAAATTTTCATTTTTTTATATTTAATTTCTTTTTATGATTAAAATTTATAGAAACAAATACTAGTTTTGAATTTAGTTAATTTTTGTTATGGTTTAATGTTTTTAATTTTTTTTTTTACATATAAACTTAACTATTTTTCATTAAACTTTGTCTTTAAATAGTTTTTTGTTATTAAAATGATTTTCTTCATGATTAATTTTTAAAAATATGTTTAAAAGGCTATATTATATATTTGGATATTATAGTTATACAAAAACTATTTATATTACTATTTTTTTTAAAACTATTAAATCCGGTTCGACCCGATCGGACCACATTGACCCATGATTCAAAAGTTTCTCCGGTTCGATCGCCGGTTTTAAAAACATGGGCAGAAAAGTGACAAATGTATATTTAATAATAAAAATTAATACGTCGTGGACACGGGCCTTGGAGAACACTCAGCAAACTTCCACACAAAATTATATATTCCCTCGGTTTTATATTAAGTGTCATTCCAAACTTAATTTTTATTTCATATTATTTATTGTATTGTATTTTTAATATATATATTTTTAATTAATTTTATTTTTTATCTTTAATTTTTTAATTTATTAATTACTCATATAAAATAAAACATTGTATTAATTAGAAATAAAACATAATAATATAGGCCTAATGACATAATATTTGAGGAATGTTGAGAAATTGCAGAAAAAAAATTAAGCTATTACCCGTTGCACTTTGTGGAATTGGGAGGAATACGTAACAAGTGGATAAAATTTAACAGTTTTTTTTATTTTCTATTTTTTATGGAAAACACTTTTGTACAAAACACTAGCTTTCATTTCTTGTATTTAGTAATATGATGAAATCAGTTTTGCAAAAAACACATGATTCAAAAAAAAAAAATTACAAAAATGGGAAATAAAATAGATGTTGTTTGATAATTATAAATAAATAAAATTTGTATGTTTTATTAATTTGAATGATTATTAATAAATATAGATTTACTAATAAAATAAGTTAGGTTTATGAGATAATTCATAAAATATTATAAATTTAAATATTGTTTAACTATTTATACATTTATAAATATAAAATTTTGAAAAATATTATTTAATTAATATTTTAAAATTTTTAATTAAATTAATTTATTTCAAAAAATATACCACATTCTGCCAGATTCTACTGTTACTATTTGAATTCAAAATTATTTTGCAAAATTTTGTAAAAAATACTAAAAATTCAGCAAGATTCCGCAGTACCATTTACATCTTATGTATGAAACAATATAGAATGACAACTATTTTGAAACGAAAGAAATATATTTTTTTATTTAATTTTAAGGATTTAATGCATTTCATCCTGATTATTTTTTTTTTGTCATTTCTGATTAATTTTTAAGAGCGTTAATTTTTTCAATAAATTTTGACCATAAATTTAGAATAATCAGTTAAATTATTAATTACTTTTTTTTTGTTTTTTTAACAGCTTTATTGAATTAAGAAGTGAAAAACAGAGTGTGATCCTCATGGAGGATTTGTACAAGGTAATTAGAAACTTAGAACATAGAAATAAAATGATCATGAAGAGCTAATGGTTTTTCTTTTTGTTATTGCACATAATTTTCCTTTTAAAAATAGTTCCATTGGAAATAGAAGAATAAAACCGACCAAGCCCACCTTCTCACGAAAACCACCGATACCAACAGATTCGGC